AGACCCATAAACCATCCAATGTTTTGAATATTTACTTTAAAGTGGTTTGTGAAAAAGAAAAGATACATTGACTTCTGGGAAAAGTTATATTCTAAGAGTTTGCAAGACCAATGTTATGCATGATTTACGCTTGAAACACATTTTCATCTTTTTATGATATTCTTAGAAGATATCTGAAAATTACCCCTCAGTTAAATGCAAACCACATTTTATTCTCGTTTAAGGCTTTGGAGACAGAGAAATCGAGAGAAAACAGGTTAGAAATAACAAGAAATTTGATGGCCTTGCAAATCTTTTCAAGAAGTTTAAAGTAGGTGGGAAATCCATTGCCCCAACACTGTCCCTTGTGAGGAAAATCGAAATGGCCAACAGAAGGCAGAAGCAAATAGATTTTTATTCCAAGCTAAAGTGACCTATAGAATAGAATCTTCCATGAACTTGCTATTAAACTCACTTGGACCTGCACTGACTTGTATGTTACCCATCTAGAAAGCTTAAAAGCCCATTAAAGCAAATAATGAAATGATGAATACATTTGCACTTAGTTTTCTAAATGATTAATTTATAAGATCACAACTCGTCGATTTCAGCTGCTAAATATTACTATTTTGTTCTCCAAAATTTACAGATATTGCGTTTGGAGTTCGCCCATTATGACTTCAAGTCGCAAGGAAACATATCAGCTAAAGATTTTGTATTGTCTATGGTTGCATCTGCTGACATGAGGCATATAAACCAGTTTCTGGCTCGGGTTGATGAGTTAAACAATGAACCACATCTTAGAGACATACGCATTACCTTTGAAGAGTTCAAGAATTTTGCAGAGCTGCGTAAAAGATTGCTACCCTTGTCCCTGGCAATCTTCAGTCATGGGAAAGTGAATGGGTTGCTAACAAAGCAAGATTTCCAAAGAGCTGCTTATCAAGTATATCTACCATGCTTTCTTCTTCGTCTTCTTTTTTGCTGTTTGCCATGCTTCCTTTTCCACTCCTATATTTACTATATGTTTTTTTTGGATGAATTCGACTCACATCCATGAGATTTGAAATAGTTATATTGTCACCTCCTCACATTTCAAAAATGACACAAAAAACCTTTCATTTGATTGAACACTCAAAAAATTATAGATCTGAACTCATACCCTAACCACTCCAGACTTGTACCATACAAAAAAAAATCGAGCCCTCATTTTCCCAGCCTGCAATCTCTCTTTCTCTCTCTCCTCAGAACGAATAAACACCCCCCCCCCCCCCCACAAACAAGTAATAGAAAAAACCGTTCACTACCAAAATAAACGAAGTAGTAGAAAAAGAAGAGTGAGACCAGTCGTGTTTAAATCATCAACAAACCTAATTTTCTTTCCTAGCTATGATGACCATCACTTGTGAACTAACATTGTTAATTAATGTGTTGCAAGGTTTGTGGCATCTCTCTAAGTGACAATGTGATTGATATGATATTCTATATCTTCGACATAAATCGTGACGGAAGTCTAAGCTCAGATGAATTCCTGCGAGTCTTACAAAGACGGGAAAACGATATTTCGCAACCACGGGAGGCGGGATTAATGAGATTATTATCTTGCTGGATGGATTGCACAAAAAATTGTTCTTCTTTTAAGATTCTTTTGTGAATAATACTGAGTGGTGCATGATTCCATATTTTCGGATATTTCAGAGGTGGAGACAAATTCAGAATCACGTTGTTGATGCGCAAAGAGTTCACACTCGAAAGTCAAAATGTCAATGTTTTGGACGTTGGCTTATTGTCAATATTCTATCGCCTAGTGATAGGGTTAGGTGGAAATTTTGTGGCTACATGTTGAAAGCTAGTCAATTTTACTAAATTTTCTTTGAATTTTGTTGTAGAATTGGTTGTAGTCTGAATCACGGGTTGCGATGGATACCATAAAGTTCTCCTTAGCATGTTAACTTTACCACAACCACATGTACAATCTATTTGCACAAACAAGAGACGAGAAATAATTTAAAAAGCAAAATATTCCGCTGTACTGCTAATGAAATCAGATTTTTAAAAAAATAAAGAGTAATGTTAGATAGATTTAATAATTTCAATTATTGAATAGATAGTGGATCCTAATAAATATTGAGATTCACAATAAAATTAATAGTTAAAATTATCAATTCTAATTTTTAAATTTATGTAACATTACTCAAAAATAAAATAATATTATTCGATTTCTTTCGGTAAGTAACATCATTCGCTTTCAAATCATCTATCTAAATAATCCCTCCATTGAAATCCTGACCGTACAGCTGTCCAGATGTGACCCCTCGGTTGTTGAAGCATCACTTTCAATGTTTATTTATTTATTTATTTTTGCCACTATTTAAAATTTTTACATGGAAGGAGGGTGAAGTACAAATCCGTAATTTAAAAGATTTAACAGCAGGTTGGGTGGCCATCAAGCCAACCCTGATCCTCCACTTCCATCGTGTGTACTGGATCGACTGACGATAAAAAATAATACGAAATAGAGAATAAATGAAGACTCAATATTTTTTATTTTATTTTTATTTATTTAATGCTATTAATTTTTGTCACTCATTTTTTAAATAAGTCTAATATTACTGTTTTTCTTCTAGCAATAGAAGAAAATCTCCAAAAAAATAAAAATAATAGGAGAAAATATCTTTCAACACTACTTAACACACCATTATTGGAGTCCCTGTATTTGTTCCTTTGTAGCCCGTCCCACTATGAAATAAATGATGGGCTGAATATTTATAGTTTTATTTTATTTATCTGAAAATATTTTTTTTTGCATTGTACCAACGGGTTGCTGTTTATCCTCTCATTTTTTTTTTTTGACTAGTTTAACATTAGTCTTTTTTTGTTTGTTTTAGTAAGGAAAAATTTTAATCACGCCTTTTCGACTTTTTCATATTTTTAAGGATACTTCTTTTAGTCTCTAATGTTTTGTTTGGTAAGAAACATGAAAAGTAAGAAGAATAGAAAATAAATGATAGAAAATAAAAAAATACACTTTTTATCCTTCAAGAAAAAAAAAGTAGGAATGGTGCCTAAGATTAAGAGTGACAATCGAGTTGAGTCGAGTCGTGTCATGTCAGATTTGTGTTGAGTCATTACAGATTTGTGTCGAACATTAGTCACACATAACTCAACTCATTTAATTAATTGGGTCGTGTCGCGTTGCGAATTGATCTGTTTATTTTGAGTTTGACCAATTGAACTGAATATGAGTTTTGATAAAAAAAAAAAATTGAATATAAGTCTTTTATATTTCTTGTTCGTATGTCAGGTCATTTTCAAGTTCGTGTTGAGTCATAATCAAATTTGTGTTGAGTTAGAATTGTGTCATCGTATTGAGTCGAAAATTTGCACCTCTAGTTAAAATAGAAAAAAAAATATTTTTTTTAATTTAATTTTTTAATTTTTTTTAATTTTTAAAAATATATAGACAAATAAGAAACATCTCAATATAAATAATTAACTTTTCATCCACTTTGCTTTTGATTTTAGAAAGATTGATTTTGGTGAGTTAGAAGAAAAGTTAACTCATCCATTTATCCGTCCTTCCTATTTTTCTTCCTTACCAAATATGATGTTTTATTTATCTATCAAACTTTCTATCATTTTAACTTTTCATCAATATAAATGGAGCATAAAGCATCAATAACACTCTTCTACTTTAAATTAAATATTTCTGGCATCCCTACTATTAAACCACTATTTCTAAACAAAAATAAATAAAATCTAAAATACCAAAATTATTTTTACACAAACCTTAAATATTTTTTTATATAAAATTGATTAAAATTCGAGCCGTTAAAATTTATATTTTTACATATTATAATTTGAGCTTTAAAATTTATTTTTTTTACATATTAAAATTTGAGCTGATTAAAATTCTATTCGAACTGGTTAAATTTTTTTTTTAAATACTAAAAATTAAAATTCTTTTTTTTTACGTATTAAAATTCGAGCTGATTTGAGCTCAACCTAAGCTAGTAGCACTAATTAAAATTCGAATCGGATCGATTAAAATTTATATGTTTTTAATTATTAAAAGTCGATTCAAGTTTATTAAAATTCATTTTTATGTATTAAAATTTGAGTCAATTAAAATTTATATTTTTAACATATAAAATTTGGGTTAATTAAAAACGAATTTTAATCGGTTTGAATTAAATTTTAATCGATCTAAATTTTAATACGTAAAAAAATTCATAAAATGGAGGAGTCGCATTAAAAATGTTAAAAATAAAAGAGATGTAGATAAAGATATATTAAATTAGAAGGGATGTAAGTGAAACTTTTTCCCTTTTTAAAAAATATCTCTTTCTACGTACATGAGATGATGAGATTCCAATCGTGATATTAATTCTCAAGTGGCCCCACGTTTTTGGTGTACGATCCATTAACTTCCTGTTATAAATCAGAAATGTTAGGCTGGTCAATTTACCATTATACCTTTACATCTTTTTTTTTTAACAAAAAATTATAGTTAGTATATAATTATATTATCTATTAAAATAAAACTAAAAAATTAAATAAAATGTCAAATTATAATAGACACAATATCTTTTAAATTTAATTGATGTAGTTTAGTATTTTAATTTGATCATTTAAAAGACTAAATTAAATTTTAATAGATAATATAATTGTATACTAACCATAATTTAAAAAAAAAATTGAATTTTTATTTTTGATTTTATTTTAATAAATGACATAATTGAACATAAATTTTAATTGTAAAATATAAAATATTTGATATTTTATCTTTGATTGAAATATTTTTTGTCTAAATATAACATTTTAAATTTAAGGAGTCTAAATATTATATGACTACAAACTTCAAAAGGTCTACGTATAATTTATGAATAGATATATTTATAATATGTACAAATTTTAAAAGATCTGTATACAATATTTTAAATATTAAGAGGTCTGAGTGATCAAGTAACAAATCTTAGGGGTCTAGTTGTAATTCTCCCAAAACTAAAATACATAAACCCCCGTACCAAACCCTACCTCATGTTCTTCTTCGGACCGCCGCTTCTCCTCCCTCAGCCTCTTCTGTCTCCCAAACGCTGACTCATTTTCTTCCCTCTATTTCTCTTTCTACTCTTCGATCGGACCACAAAGACAACAGTTGGATGCTGTAAGGAAACAAAATGGATGCCGACGAGGTAACAATCCAACACTCGTTACCGCAATCTGACCACCCACATGTGCCGCAAGTGCTCTTAAAGAACCAACAATCTCTCTCTCTCTCTCTCTCTCTCTCTCTCTCTCTCTTGTTTCATCTCTCCTCATTTGGCTTCCATTTTCATTCAAAGAATCTTTCTACACCATTTTTCATATTTACTCGAGTCCATTCGTTCCTCAACATCCCAATTGCTCTTAAAGAACCACAATCTCTGTCTCCTCAGTTGACTACCATTTTCATTCAAAGAATCTTTCTTCGCCATTTTTCATATTTACTTGAACTCATTCGTTCCTCAACATCTACGTGGCTAAACTTCCTATCCAAATATTAGACTTAAGAGATAATTAAGGGAGAATCTCCCTTAGACATCTTTTAGGGGTTTTTGTATGATTTTTTTTGACTCATTTACGATTTTTGGGTATTTATAATTTTTCGGTCTGCAATACATTCTAAATATTTTTGACTTTATATTTTAAAAGATTTAAAAATTTTACTTTTTTTATTTTAAAAATTATCCTGAGGTTGACTTAACGAGGAACGAAAATTATCGAAAGAGTTATATTATAATAATTTTAATATATTAAAAGTGAAATGTGAAAAATAAAATATTAGAATTTTTAAAACAAAAAATCTTAAATAATTTCTTAGGGTGTAATATCCAATTGGCCCAAAAATTTTCGTGGAAAATTTTGATCCTGGTTATGCACTGGTAGTCTGGTCTGGTCTGGTCTGGGTTTTTTTTGGACCGGTTGGTGTTGTCATTTTATGCCTGACTAGTCTTTGAATTTGTGACTGCAGAGAAGGAGTCGGATAATGGCGTCTGAGTCCACCTCCAACAATACCGAAATTACTTGCATTTTCAGCTCAAGCTCCGACGAGCACCGATGGGTCATTCAAATGGGGAAGAACTTCGAGATAATTGACATTGACAAAACACCTTGCATCTCTATAGTGCCCGAAACTTTACGAGCCGAGAAGCCGGAAGCTTATGCCCCGAAGCGAATAGGCCTCGGACCATATCACCATTTTCGGCCCGACCTCTATGATCATATGGAGAGGAAGAAGCTAACTATAATGAAAAGTGCTGTAAAACCGGACGAGAATGGCAAATTCCCACAAACCATGATCAATAAACTGAAGGAGCTTGAGCCCAAACTCCGGCCATGCTACGACAAGCTCTTGGATCTAGATGGCGAAACATTAGCATGGATATGGGCAATTGATGGTTTCTACCTGTATCAAAACTTATGTAAGAATTTTTTGGAACAGGAGATATTTATGTTGGAGAACCAAATTCCTTATCTTGTGTTAGAAGAAATCGATCATAATATTGACCACAAATTGTCAGATCAAGTATTACGTGATTTCTGTGAGGTACACTCACCGTTAAAATGGACACAAAAGCATCGGAATCGTCAGTGTAAAGAACACGAACCTGCTCACCTGCTGGATTTTTTGTACCACTTAGTTGTAACCGACGGGCATATCAGGCTGAAAGTGCGAAGCAATGCTCGAATGTTAGCAGCAACAACAGTGATTGAAAACACCGCAACTTCTATTTTAGAAGAACTACGGAAACTTAGCGATCTCATAAAAAAACTGCATTTGGATAAGATTTGTGCTCCATTGTTCAAAAAACCTAATACAGCACTCGAGATTGAAATTCCTTCGGTGTCGAGCCTTAAAATTGCTGGAGTGAAATTCGCCATCGCGGAAAGGGGAATCAGTGTCCTTGAATTCGACAACACAACAAGCACTTTGAAACTCCCTGTAATTACTCTGAATGAAAATTCAGAAGTTGTATTAAGGAACTTGTTGGCTTATGAAGCTTTGTCCATGCCAGTGCCAGCCGAGTCTACCGACTCTACCCCCACCCGTAAGCTTGCAGAATACATCGATTTGATGTGTGGAATTATAGATACAGCAGAGGACGTGAAGATCCTCCAGAAACAGAACATCATCGTCATCGAAGGCAATCTTTCTCACGGTCAAATTGTAGATATTTTCAATGGGATAACAAAATCCACTGACATGGATAAACAGTTTAAAGTTGTTGAGAAAGTTAACAAGCATTACGACAGTATGCCAATAGTGAAGGCAGGAAGATTCATCAAGAAATGTTTGGATTCGTCCTGGAATTTTGTGAAAACGTCATGGAAGGTCTTGTGCTTCTTTTATTCCCTCATTCTAATCTCAGTGCTGATCTTGCAAGGCTTCTGCGACATCTATGGATGCCGCCAGGGACAAAGCCAAAATTTTATCTTCAGAGCAGCCGAATAGTGGTATAGTCGAAATATTTTGTTCAACTGAGGGATTCAATTACCACAAAGTGCAAAATTAAGCTTGGCTTTGCAATGTTGATGTTTGTGTTGTGTTATGCTGTATTTGATGTTTTCCTTGTTTGGCTCTTTTTTTTTTTTTGTTGCCTCTCCGGAACTTCGTGGATAACGTAGTACTCCAATAAAAGACGGCCGGCCTAACTCAATGATCTGGCTTTATAATTTTGTCTTTCATTTTCATCCCATGGTCTATCTGTTATACGACTGAAGCAACTTGAGTTCCGTTTATAATAGGCTTAATTTTGACTTGTTAACTTTATACTTAATGCAAATTAAATGATAAAATAAATTTAATCCTATTTTCATGTTGGATTTGTAAACAAGCCAAATTCAACATGTGGCTCTCAATTCGGCTCAAACAATTTCATTAAAGATTTTAATTTTGTTATTAAATTACTCTCGTTCAAATTATGAATAACTTCAACCTTATCTTCAATGTCGTAAAACTCACTCAATCAACACCCCGTCCTAGAAAAAAAAATGTGCAAATTAGAACTTTCTATTTTTAGTGAGGGGACATAATCTCTTTTTCTACCCCACACATGAAAGGCATTTGGGGCTGTTTGGGAAAGGGGTATTTTTTTTTTGGGGGCGGTGGGGACTTGGCAAGAAGGGTTTGGGGAAATTAGTCCAAAAAACCCTCAAATATCAAATTCAACTCCAAAGTTTAAACCTATGATCATGAGTTTCTTCAAACTTATAGTGGGGGTTGTGAGTATGGAAAAATGAGTAAGGGGTTAAAGATTTAAAAAATAATTGTACCCCTTAACATGAGAATGAATTGAATTGATCAAGGATAAAATTGTCATTTAATATGATATATTTGTGGGTCATAAATGTATATGTGTTGCACACCAAATATGAGTATAATTGAATGTTAAATCTTATCTTTATAAAAAGATATTTGAGTTTGGAAAGGTTTAGAGAAACCAATCCAAACTCTTTCCCAAAATTCATCCAAACAAACCCTTGAACTCCGTTTTACAACTCATATCATGAATAAAATCGAACTTGTTGATTCAAATTTAAATTAAATTATCAAATACAAATTTATATTTTTGATTGACAATCTAAGTTCGAATTCCCATTTAATGAATTTGGTTGGATATATTATTATTTGATCTAATTCCAGCATACGTATGGATTCATTGATGTAATAGTAATAACTTGCACATAAAAGTACTTTGTAACTTAAAAAATAACACAATTTGAAATAGTTCTTCCTTAATTTGTTTTAATTTAAGAATTTAAAATTAATCTATCTCTCACTATTTTTCTCAAAAATATTCGACATAATTTTATCTAAAAATAAAAACTCAGAAAAATTTCAAACTATCTACAAAGTTTATATCTCTCATTATATGTATTATTGTCCAACACAAACCATTGTATTGCCCAACACAAACTATTGTATAGTCAATCTCAAGAATAAATTATTCTACCTAGCTCAAAGACATCATATTTTAAACACTACATAGTCCAGACTAAAAATAACGTTTATATCATAATACCAAATGTCCCGGTCACATATTCTACACACAATGAAGTAAGAATTCACCAAACAATTTACTATCGAACTACTAGTTGTGCGCCCCGGCGTGACGAAAAAACGTGAACATCTTCTAACCAACTCATGAATCTAATCTGCCCAAATGCTGATGTTCGATTGAGAGATAGGAAAAATAAGAAATCTTGACTATAATCAAAAAATAATTACATCTCTCATATGTGTCAACTATTAAAAGAAAAAAACAACAATAGAAAAAAAAAAGTGACGATACACGAAATAACAAATCAAATTAACATGACCCCAAAGCAAACACAAACCAAGTTTCGCATGACAATGCTGAAGATAAAACTACTCTAAATTCTTTAAAAGTAGAACTATCTAACGAGCTATCATTAGTGAATTTTAGATAGCATGAACCAATAAAAACAACCTGACTACAACAAGCTTCAACGAAAGACGAAAAACACCATTCTAAATTAATTTCAACCTCAGTGATGTTGACATTAACGAGCAAGAAAGTAAAATCTTATTGAAATGTCACCAAATTTTTGTTGCAATATATTAAATTATGTTATACAAAATCTATTGAGTGCGACGTCGTTACTTCCATTACAAATTTTTTGGTTTATTTTAATAATTTTTAAGGGTTATTTTCAAATTATTTACAACTAGGTTACTTGAATAATCATAAAAAATTATAACTTAAAAACCCTAGAAGTTATAATATAATCTCAAAAATAGTAAATTTTTTGTTGTTATGAATAAATTTAAAAAATTATAATTTAACCTACAAAATTTATAAATTTTTGGTTTGGTAGCATAATTTATGAAATGACATGACAAATTGAAAAGGTAAAATGGAATCGGGCTACAAATTTAGGGATGCCAAATGTAATTAGGTGCTATTAAGGACCTTCCAGAGATGTTTTCTTTTCTTTACCTAATTCCATTCAATCAAACACCGGCCTGGGTAAAAAGTTGACCCATGGATTCTCGCGGTACAGCTGTCCTATGTGGCCCCTGGGTTGGTGTGCATCACTCCAATGTGTTTTGCTATTCTTAATTTTTGAAGGATTAATCTCATTTTACACCCCAAAAAATTATTTAAATTTTAATTTATATTCTTAAAAATTAAAAATTTCAATTTATACCTTTAAATATATAAATTTGTATCAATATATACCCCTAAAAATAAAAAATTTAATTTGCACCCTCAAAGATAAAAATTTATATCAATGTACACCCCCAAAGATAAAAAATCTCAATTTGCACCCTCAAAGATAGAAATTTGTATCAATGTGCAACTAAAATTAAATTGATAAATTATACTTAAATCCCCTCATGTTTGTCATTTAATCATTTGAACTCTTTCACGTTTAGAATATTACCCCTATGTCTCATGACGTTTGTGCATGTGTAACATATAACCACTTTTCGTTGATATCTGTTAATATAATCATTAAAAAATATGATTTTATCCTAATAAAAAATTATAATTTCATATTACTCTTTATTTTGTGAATTCGATATACTCGAAAATTCAAAATCAAGCTTATTATTTGAATGTCTAATAGAATGTAGATATTTATATAAAGAGTAATATGAAAAATATTATATAAATATCTACATTTTATTTGACATTCAAATGATAAATTTTATTTGAATTTTAGAGTATATTAAACCCATAAAATAAAGGGTAATATGAAATTATAATTTTTTATTAAGATAAAATTATATTTTTTAACGGTTATATTAACAGATATCAATGAAAATGAGTTACGTATTATATATGTACAAATGTCATAAGATGTAGGAGTAATATTTTAAATGTGAAGAGGTCCAAATGATTAAGTGACAAATATGAGGGGATCTAGGTATAATTTATCAATTTAGTTTTAGGTGCACATTGATATAAATTTCTATTTTTGATGGTGTAAATTGAGATTTTTTATCTTTGAAGTGCACATTGATATAAATTTTTATCTTTGAGGGTATAAATTGAGATTTTTTATCTTTGTGAGTGCACATTAATACAAATTTATATTTTTGAGAGTATAAATTGAGATTCGAACAATTTTTTAGGGTGCAAAATGAGATTAACCCATTTTTGAAAAATGTTATGACTGAGTATAAGATAGTTGCAAATTAAAAATTAAAGGATCTTTAATGTGAGATTAGTCCTTAATTTAATTGGAGTAATTAGTATTTAGAAAATACTATTTATACTTAATTTAGTGACTTTATCTATAATATAAAACAGGACGGCTTCAACATCCAATAATCTCAAATCAATTCAAAAGTCTATAATCCAAAGGTTCACAATACATCTCACTAAAATTCAAAAGTCTCTCATCCAAAAGCTCATAATATATCTCACTCAAAAATCAAATCCTGCCCATTCCAACACACAACCCAAGGCAGAGAGGCATGCTCTCTCCTTCCCAAGTCAGGCGTCTCCCTCTTTCTCTCACGACTCTCTCTCTCTCTCCTCACACACACACAAACACACACAAGAAACATATCAAGCCTATACCAAGTCTTCTTCTCCCTACTGTCACCCAAGAACCCCCCTCTCTCTCTCTAGTAACACACCCACACACAGACATCACGAGCACACACACACACATAAAGATCACACACACATACCACGCAAAGTCACACGATTTATGAAATTTAGGTTTTCAGATTTGGTGTGAAATTTTGAGTGTTTATTTCATTGTTGAATTTGAGCTTTTTTTACCCTAAAACGATTTCAGCCTCTTTGGTTTGTGCGTGTCGCCATCTATCTGAGGTCTGACGTCTTCCCAGTCCTCTCTCTCTCTATTTGCGCTACATTGAAGTCGAAGTTCGAACGACGAACGAACACTTGAAGTTAAGGTAGGAGGGACTCATTCAGAGGCTAGACTCCAGAGCTCCATCGTTGACGATTTCCTGAGGATTTCCTTCCCTCAAGTAGCAGTAGCAGTTGATATATCCTCTCTTTCTCTCTCTCTCTCTCTACCCTCTTGCAATCAAATCCACATGTAAATGAATCACATATCTTTATTGTTCCCTAATCTTCTACCACCAATCAAATTGATCTTCATTCCCATTTGCACCATTTATATGTATGTCCATATGCTATAATCTAGATTCATGAATATGCTGGTAATTGCAGTGGTGATGATGTTTAGAATGTAGATAATATGACAAAGACACTTATTGGGACAAAAAAAACCCTTAATTAGAAGGAATCTTATTTGGGTTTTCTGGAGCTTGGGTTACTATTTTTTTCACGCCCTATCCCGGTCTCCCAAAGATGAGGTGCGACTAGATTTTTAATACACATGTTTACAATTATTATAAACTAGATTAATTAAATATGATATAATCCCACATGTGCAATAACACCACTCATCACTTTAGTTATTAAACATGATGGTAAAACCTGTCTTATAACCTGTAACATACATAAACACCTGTACCAATCATTTGTTTTCCAGGTTATAGACATATACAAAATCTCACACCCACATAATATACATCACAAAGTATGCTTGATGAGTCTATTTTACAAATATCTACTATTAACTTGCCATAATAATCTCTCACAAATATAATACACAATCCAGAAATTAGTCATATTGACACTCAACCTGAGTGATATCATACCAACGTT